TGCAGTCAGCTGAAGTAGCCTGCAGTGCTGCATTTAACCACTGCGCCACCTCGGCTCTTAGTAGGTACATAGACCAAAATAACATCTAGATACTATTCACAGTCACATCATCACCACTTGTGATCTTCACTGCCAGCTTCCAATAAGTCAAGTCAATGAGGAAACCCGCCATCACCTGATGTTGTGCTTAATGACTGCACATCAGGGGTGGGTTTCAACCGCTCTGCGGCAGTCCCCGCGAACCGGTTGGTCGGCGAACCCGGAAGTAAGTAACTTCCGAAGGGCCCGCTGGCCGGCCGCGCTCCTTACCTGGCTTTGACAAGTTCTGCGCTTCCACGCATGCGCAGGACGCATACAGCGCCTGTGCGATCCTCCAGGAGCAGCTGGAGCATCGCACAGATGCTAGTAAGCATGCGTGCACTGCACGTGTGCACGAGGACGCCGCCGGCCCCGTTCCAACCGAACCGGTTGGAACGGGGCGAGAAACCCACCCCTGGTGGGATGCATCCTGCCCATGGACCGCGAGTTTGACACCTTTGCCTTATAACCTTCTTATGATTTCTGCTCTTGACGATTGAGAAAAAAACCTGGGATAATAGAAAAAAACGCATTCTTTTGCAATCATAGAGTAAGAGATAACTTTGTAATTGTAATTATATTCACGGCAAAGGAAATCCTTCTTATTTTTTTAAATCTTTCTCTCTGCACTTTTGAGGTTCTTTTTTCTCTCTCTCTCTGTTTTCTTTTTATTAGTTTGTGCTTGTTCTTTGCAAACAAAAAAAAAATTCAGTACAAATTTATTAAAAAGAAAGAAAGTCCAGGAGATGACTATGAAGGAAATAGGCAAGAACTGTTACATAAGCAAAGAGGGTTGAATCATTCCTTGAATTCTGCAAAGCAGGACAGTGCTTAGAAAAGATTCAGGTCAGTTCTTCCTGATTTACTGGGCTGTAACTGATCTATACCACAAAAGGAACTTAGACTAATAAAGGGATGTGCAACAAAAGTACTTTTGATTCCCCCCCCCCCCCAATATGTCAGCCGTAAAAGAAAGCAGGGGAATGACTGGACCTGTTAGGAGATGGTAGTTGGATAATAACAGGATAGACAGAGGAGGTGGAGTTCTTCAGTTCTTATTCTCTCTGAAGAGGAACTAAGCAGAATACTAAAAAGTGAAGGAGTGGAAAACCAAGGTCAGGAATTCATGGCTAACGAGTTTGAGAGTCTAGGATCAAAACGGTTTCATCTGAGAGTCCCGAAGGACTTTGTAGATGTCACCTTGGGTTCCTTTTGTCACATTTATCTCATTTACTGTGACACTTGAGAGTTCATGAAGGACTACAGAGGGCAAATGTTCTTTCCTATTTTCAATATAATAAGAATATATTATATATTCTTATATATTCAATATAATAATAATAAGAAAGAAGACTTGGCAACTACAGATGGCATAGCTTGACATTAGACACCAGGGAAATGTATGCATGTATGTATACTATGTATGTTTGTACAGTTAGTCCTTCACTTACAACAGTTCATTTAGTGGCCATTCAAAATTACAATGGCACTGAAAAAAGTGACTTATGACCATTTTTTGCACAGCGAAATTTGTTGCATCCCCCTGATCATGTGATCAAAATTCAGATGCTTGGCACCAGACTCATACTTATGACCATTGCTTATGGTCAGAAATGTGATCCTTTTGCAACTTTTCAACAAGCAAAGTCAGCAGAGATGCCAGATTCACTTAACAACTGGGTTACTAAATTATCAACTGCGGCGATTCACCTAACAACTGTTGCAAGAAAGGTCGTAAAATGGGGCAAAACCCGCCTAACAAATGTTT